TGCGCATGCATGCTAAAATTCGCGCGAAAAAAATTGAAATTATGGTGAATGCACATTTTTTGTTCAGAAAACTTATTTTACTATATAGGGGATAATATGTTTTCTGAACATGCACCCTTATTTCATTTTTTTCGCGCGAATTTAGAACACGCATGCATTTACGGTGAATTTAAGGGACGGACGCATCTTCACGTGTGCATTCACGGTGAATTCATGTGTGCATTTAAGGGGCGGACGCATCTTCACGTGTGCATTCACGGTGAATTCAATGGGCGGATATATCTTCACGTGTGCATTCACGGTGAATTCCAGGGGCGGACGCATCTTTTAGCAACCGTGAATTCACGCGTGAAGCAATATTTTTCACCGTGCATTCACGGTGAACTCACGAATGTTATCTGGGTATAATTATTTACGCTGTGTCTAGTCTCACACTAGCGTGAACGCAATTTTATTCTTATTCACACGCTAACGTGAACGCAATTTAATTTTTATTCTCACGCTAACGTTAAAATAATTTTAATTTTATTTTCACGTTAACTTTCTATACTTGCAATATCAAGTCCGACCGCACTGGAAAGGACGGCTGTTCAATACCCGCGTGAAAAGAACAAGGACGTCCTTGTTCTGGTAACCAAACGTGACTAACATTTTTAAATGTGACGTTAACGTGGCCAATATATTAACTATAAAGTTGTGACCTATATACCTTTAACGAAAATTAATAATTTTGGAGATGTCGATTTGATATAGAATCTGCCTTTACCAATGCTTTCACGATTTTCCATAGACTTACTTTGCTAAATTAATCGTTATATAAACGTGACTTTATTGTCACTTTATAACGTTATAACAAAAGTCACGGTATACCGTGACTTTAACTTTACGATTTACCGTGTCTTTAGCTACCCTCTTAACTCTTTATTCAATTCGCCATATTGGTCTGATTTTGTTCTGTTTAGTGTTCCCGTGCAACTAATTTGTTTTGAAATTGGTTTATTTAAAAATTATTAGCTTGTGTTTAGTTTTTATTATAGGTATATTATTTTCTTTGGAAGGCGTTAATTGTAAGTATTGTTTTTCATATTGTATTTCTATAAAAATAATTATAGGTAATGTTAACATTCATTTTAATGCCTTTTAACATTACCTAAATATTTAACAAGTACCTACCTAGGTACCTAAGTGGTTTTGATTTAAAAACTTAATTATGCAAAAATTCTGTTTACTTTATTATGTAGAGGAGGTATATAACTAGTGTTCACATTAATACTTTTTTTCAGCAAAAGAAAAAAGAAATACAGCAAAATGTCGAATAGAAGAAAAAATATTGACTGAATATGCTTTAGAAAATTATTTATTTGGTGTTTATCCTTTTGAAAGAAGAATATATTTTTTTAGAGTTATTTATTTAGTTTTTTATTGTTTTTATAATTTGGTTTGAGAAATATATTGTTTTGTTAAAGGTATTATTATTAATTAATCATAAATTCTTCTGAAACCTGTTCCATTTCAGTGTTTTGTGCTTATTTAATTATTTAAAATATACATAGGTATAGCTTACTATAGTAAAAATTTAGGATTAATTCCAGCAATCTGAGACTTGAGCAGATTAGTTAAAGACAGCTGTCACTAGGTAGTCACTAGTGGCGACTGGGGGATTTGGGGTATACTGATATCTTAGTTATTAGACATGGGACCCAAAACTTTTATGAAGTACGTTGTAATAAAATTAAAAATAGTTGCGAAAAAATTAAGTTTTTCAGCGTGCCCCCTAATTAAGATGATTCAAATTAAGGTGGTGCAATTAATAACTCACTATAGTTTATAACAAATTTCAAAATTTATTTAAAAAATCCAAGATTACAAATATACCCTTTTTAAAATTTTATTTTAGGATAAAAAAAAGTTTAAATGGTATAAAATCTACTTGGAATTTGAAATAAATTTTGAAATTTGTCGATAAACTGAGTTATTAATAGCACCACTTTATTTTGCATTATCTTAATTAGGGGGGCAGGGGACTGGGCTGAAAAAAATTACTTTTTTCGCAAACTTCAATTTAATATTATTATAAACTCATAAAAGTTTGGTTTGGGTCCTATGTATAATAACTGAGATATTGGTATACCGGTATATATACCAAAAATCCACCAGCCACCACTGGTTAAAGATACTGTCACAAATTCAAAATCGAATATAACTGTATTTTCGTGTTGATTTAGTAACGATTACAGCGTCACGTAAACGTTATGTCGATTCGGTTTAAAATCACGATAACGCTAACGTGACGATCACGTTATAACGGCAGGTGAGCGGTTTTGTGAAAAATTTGAGTTTAAAATTGATATAGTTTCGACGATTATACACGTGACGATAAAGAAAACATGCATACAATTTCTGTCACTTTTTCGTTACGTTTGGTTACCTGTTCTGTACAGAACGCCAAATAGAATTTGATTGGCCAGCCGGCAGGCTACGACAACGCATACCCATCGCGCACCTCGCAGCGTGCTTGACACGAGGATATCTTATGTTAATATGTTCTGTGCTAAATCATTTAGTCTAAATTTAGTAAATCCAGCCAGACTGGCTGCCAGAGTTGACCTCGCTTACAATTCGCACGCATCCGGCAGCCGGCTCTGGCCAATCAAATTCTATTTGGCGTCCTTTCCAGCGCGGTCGGACTTGATATTGCAAGCACTGTATACAGGGTGTTATGTAATTAATGTTATATATTAAAATACTGAATACCTTTTGACATAAGGAGTAAAGGAAAATATTTAAAAAAATATTTTTCCAAAGATAAAGAAAAAATATGCATTAGAAGTTTTTTATATTTTTTGTGATACGCCACTGGTTACACACTTGGTTTATCTCTGCCTTAGATCTCTGCGCACTTGTATTCTGTGAGTACATAGATACCAACCAACAAAGTAGCTGCGCGTTGCCAGATGTACAAAAATTCTTACTAAAAATTTTTTTTGCAAAAAATAAATAAAAACTCAATAAATACAAAAGTTTTATGCCCTTAAAGCTCTAATACCCGTCTGTATTTATTTACTCATCCAGCTAATAGCTTAAGCAATGATTAGAAAGTTTAGTACCTATTTAAAAAAATCTATAACCATAAAATTAATTTTTTCATCGGTTTTTTTCTTTCTGTTTACTCAGATGAAATTGGGACCAGTTCACAGGTTAAACTTTAAACATTTAATTTGTGTAAATAAATCCAAAAGCACTTTCCTTAGTTAAGATATTTACAATTTGAGCACATAACCTAAAATTTGAAAGAAATGCACTAGATTCTGTCATAAAAGTTGGCAGATTTTGTTTGAAGTTACCTTCAGTACAAAAATGACATAACAAACAATTAATTAAAACGCCAAATTAACAATTTGCATTGTTAATTTTGTCATTTTTGTAATTTAAACAATGTTTGTCAACTTTTTTGACAAAATTTGGTTGTTACCAACCATAACATAATAAATTAAATTAGGCAACCTGATAAGTCTAAAGTTCCTAGTCGATCAGTGGCGTACTTTTTGGTAGGATAAAGGTTATTATAAATTATTTTTAGTCTTTGGAATTTAGAAAAAAAAAGTTTCAGGTGCTTCTATATGGACCCTAAGGAACAACCTATTTTAATATATAACATTAATTACATAACACCCTGTATAAATACCTACAGATTAAAGCCTTTTGGTTTTTGGTTAAACCTAAGGCTGCCAACTTTGTCCAGGGGCGGTTTTAGACATCTACTGAGGGGGGGGCGAAAATAGAAAAAGCCCATGTGTAGTGGACATAATTCTGCCAGCATTATTTTATTTAATTTTACTTTTTAGGTGTCGTGTCATTTGATTTGATTATTATTTGATTATGTCATTTGATTTGATTATGTAAATGTAATAAAATTTACTAATAATAAAATCGAGACTCTTTTACTGCAGCCAAACCAACCCAAACTCAACAACACAACCCAACCAACCCCGCCCCATTGAAATTGAAAGAATCTTTGGTTATGTTACCTTTAGTGACGTCACCGCGTGAGAATAAGAATAAAATTGCGTTCACGCTAGCGTGAGACAGTCTCACTGAGACTAGACGCAACGAATTACTTATGGATATTAATTAAGATAGTTTAGATTCTAAACTTTAGAAGTTGGAGTAAAAATAAAATTAAAATATAGGTATAAAAACGTAATCCTGATATTGGTCCCTGGGCCTGTTGGATACAAATAAATAAATAAATACCTACGTCTGTTGCGACGCGTAAGAACCTCTGACAAAATCTCGGGGCTCTTATAAGAGCCAACCCAATTGGGTCCTCGATTATTCCTGTTAAAAGCTTAATTAAACAAGCCAAACACTACCTACTTACATTTCTTTCAAAATTAAGTTCGGTATTTTTAAAAGTCAAATCAACATTAAAATAAGGGCTTTCTTCAAATTAGCACACACGTCAGCCCAATGTGTGAATTATCGTATATTTTAGCATTATCGTACACATGGTACATCGTACTTATGGGAGATTTATCGTACAAATACGATAATTATCGTACATCTGGCAACATGTTGCTGAATGATATCAGCCGCACTGGGTACAGTGGCGAACCCGGAATTTTTGAAAGACTATGATCGACGGACTATCATCCCGTTGACATCAAAATCTGAACTTCCTTTAAGGACAACTTCCGGTTATCAATAGTCATGTCATTTTGACAGCAATACAAATTTATACATGGACATCCAAATTATGTCGTTCAAAATTCCGTGTCCGCCACTGTATTCGTTTTTCAAAAGTTACAGGTACCTACCTATAACTTTAGAATTAACTTTTTTATTTATTGATTTTGTGGGAAATTTAAAATTAAAATTTTTATCTGAATTGAATACGTAATACCTATATGATTTTTGCCAAATCTGTTAAAAATGTAAAATTTTGGTAAATTCCATTTCAGTAGAAATACAGAAAAATCGGTAGCTTCGGCAACAAAGGTTACATCAAATAGTTTTAGGAACGCTTCTTAAAAATGGTAGTGAAGTTAGCTCCAAACCATATAGGTTAACCTTCCAGCTGATTATCAAAATATTTACATTTTTACAAGTAATGTTTATGTTGCATTTTAAGTGAAACGTAATTAATATTTTACAATGAGTAGTGATAGGAAGATAATAAATATTAGATTCAATCAGGATCAAAGTAAGTACATTATTATTAAATCGCATATTCCTTAACAATGTGTTTCTTTGTTAAGGTTGTTTCTCATGCTGCATGGAAAATGGAATTAGAATTTATAATGTCATTCCTTTGGTGGAGAAAACACATTATGGTAAATAATAGCATATAAACATATTTTTATTTATTCTTAAAGCTTGTAGATATTGAAATGGTGGGCAGTGTGTCACAATGTGAGATGATATTTAGGACTAATATATTAGCAATAGTGGCTGGTGGTTCCAGGCCTAAATTTGCTGATAATGTATTGCTAATTTACGACGATTATGCCAAAAAGTTTCTGATGGAAATAACATTTCCCTCTTCAATCAGAGCTGTGAGATTGAGGAGAGACAAGTACATATTTTTTATAGTTTTGCCTTGTAACCCACAATAATTTATTCTAGATTAGTTGTGGCCTTGCTAAATCAAATACACGTTTTTTCATTTCCCACGCCTACTCAAAGGTTGTTTTCAATGGAAACGAGGGAAAATAGCAGAGGGTTATGTGAAGTTAGTCCTTTAGCCTCAGCTGAAAAACAGATTCTAATATTTCCTGGACATAAACTGGGCAGTGTACAAATTGTGGTAATAAAATATTTGTCTATTTCCAGTTCAATCATTAAATTTACTAAAAAAGTTTTTGACGTATTTAAAATTCAACAGTATTTATATAGGAAGAAAGACCTTGGTCGATAGCCTTTTGGTTTTTCCAATAAATATATGTGCATATCTGTGCATGAATACAATTTTTTATGTAAAAAATTGGTTTTTACTAAATATGCAATAAGATGCCTACAAATAATAATATACTAAAGTTATACAGGGTGGTCCAGGATTAATCTGAAAAATTTTAATGATCGATAGAGCCTGAAAAAACAATAAAAAAAAACCCAAAAACATTTTTCAAAAATGCATACTAACGGAGATATAGTCCTTCAAAATAATTTAAACCATTGAACCGATTTTTTTCAAATTTTGTGTAGGTTAAGCTTCCGTCGATAATATAACGAAAATTTCCTACAAAAGGCCCAGTGGCGGAGATTTTGGGGGGGTTTTCCATTTTACCTTCATATTTTCGACGCCACTGGATTTATCAGTTTTATTATATCCTTTTTTAATGTAAAACCAAAACTTTTGTGTTAATTTTTCATCAGATCAGTGGTTTCGGAGATATTTTAGTTTAAAATTTCAAAAACACTGTGTACAAAGATTAAATTATTAATTACAAACGTTGATTGTAATCCTCAATCAATAAAACAACCTAAAAATATGACGGGATCAGTAACAACTGCACGATGACTCCTAGACGCTAGTTTATTTTTATCTTGAATCGGTAACTTGGTAACAAATTATAACAGTAACAGTAGCTTGTAGCAAATTATATCAGACTTTCAAAATGCATTCCCCCAGCATCCAAACACATTTGACAGCGCCGTAGATAGAATTGGACAGCCCGTGCAACTTGTAGTGTAGTTACATTAATCTCGTATCCTGTCTATTAATTCTTCTCTAGTCCTTACTGTTGTCAAATACACACGATCTTTGACACATCCCCAAAAGTAGTATTCTAACGGGTTGAGGTAAGGCGATCTCGCCGGCCAAGAGATTGGCCCAAAACGCCCAATCTAACATTGCGGGAAATTTTTGTCGCACCATTGAAGCACTCGAACACTTGAATGTGCTGAAACGCCATAAAATTTTTCGAACAAAATTGGGCTCTTCTTTTTTGAACCGGGCGGTAATGATAAGGTTTTTGGTGGTCGTCTTAAAGAACTCTTAGAATATTTACTTTGAGGGATTCAGTCTTAAAGCAGCTTTCCGGGAGCTTAACCCTGGATCATTTTGAAAAGTTCTCAGTATCCTATTTCTATTCCGTCGTCTTAATCTCGGTTTACGTACATTTTGTTCATTATTATTTCGTAGTTCAAAGTCTCGAAACCTCTGGTGCTAGCGTATTTCCATCACATAGTCCATACACATAATGAATATCTGCATATTCGATGTTGCTAAACTGATAAAGTGGCATAATAAATCAAATGTGTTTGTCAATCTGTTGATTTTCCAATAAAATCCAGTGGGGTCGAAATATGGGGGTAAAAAGGGGAAACCCCCCCAAAATATCCGCCGCTGGGCCTTTTGTAAGAAATTTTAACTACACAAAATTTGAGCAGAATTAATGGTTTTATAGTTATTTAAAAAAAAACGGTTTTTTGCATTTGAAGGGCTATTAGTGTTTTAGTGTGTATTTTTGAAAAATATTTTTGGGTTTGTTTTTATTGTTTTTTCAGGCTCTATCGATAATTAACATTTTTCAGATTAATCCTGGACCACCCTGTATATTTGATGATATTAAAAAATAGTACATATATAAGTACCTATAGGTACTTTTAGTACTTTAGCCATCCAGTTTAATAATTTTTATATGCATGTGCACAAACTTTTTACAAAAAGTTACAGTTTTTCTGGTTTGTGTAAAAAAGTAGCTATTTGTTAATATGTAACCTAAATAATTTATATCCTTTATATGGACTGTTGTCTGTTGGATTAATAAAGTATTATTATTAATATGTAGACGATTGGTGAAATTTTAGTTTTTTTTAGTTCTTATCAGTATATTATTATTTAAATTATTAAGCCTTGAAAATCAATAAAATAAATTTAAACAATTCTATATACAATATTATATTAAAAATTGTTCACAGCATGTTTAAATTCTAACTAATAGTTAAATATATAAAAATGATTTCTTTATACAACCAACGACCTCGTTTTAAAGTAAAATGCTCTGACAATCATAGTGAAGTAGATTTTTTGTATTAATATACTGAGGTAATAAATACCTATTCACTTTACCGAGTTTAAAGTTATGTTAACAGATGGAGAATGACAAATTTTATAGATAACTAGAAAAATAAATTTCCATAAAAATTTTACTTACGACTCGTGAGTTAAGATGTACTGTGTTGAATCCGTTATTATCTAATACATTTAACAATAAAACTAAGTTTTATTAATTTATTAATAATATTATTAATTATGATAATTAAAATCATTTTAATAGTGGGAAGTGTAGCAATAAAATTTATATTGTTAAAAACATTTTTTGACACTTCTTAGGGCTATTTGGTAGTACGTTCAAAGTTAAATAAAAATAAAAAACATTGCAAACAAATATTGTTAAAAAAAGTATTATTAATAACAAATTAATAAAATGTAGGGACTTATGATTTAAACCTATTTTAATCTGTAAACCAATACTCTCTACCCTTTGCCCAGCGTTTCTAAACTTTATCTACCCGTAACAAAATAAGATTTCAGCCCTTATTATAGGTCTGTTTCAGAAATGACCTTGGTTAACGTAAATCTTTTTTTGACAAACCACTTCTTCATGTTTGGGTTCCAAACCTATTGTAACGTTTTTTTTTTGGTTCGACAGGGTAAATAAAACACGCACTGGTTTATGAACGAACTAAACGATTTATTTTATTAGCACCTCACCGAACCTTCCAGTAAGCTCCACACTCATCGCCGATAAGTCACCAAGGACATTCCGAGATTAAGACCGATACTCACTATACTGTTGAGGAAAAGTTTGATATGATTTGTTGGGTAATTTAGGGAAATTCTTTTAGGGAAACGAGAGATCTTTTCTTTGTGAAATACGCGGATCGCACCATTCCTTGATTTAAAACTATTTTCTCTAGTTATGAAAATTTGAAAACAAAAAGATTCCTTTTGCCATCCCAGGATTAATTTCAAGGCTGAATTGCTGGAAATAATGGTTTGTGCAATGGTACTCAGCAAACGGAAAATTATAGAAGTGTATAGGATGACGCCACGTTTGAATATGGTTTTCTAAATCTCCCCACGGTATAGATTTGTATTCGTCATTCGAGCGTTTCAATACTCTCCACAGTATAGAGGTCGTAATTTCACTTTTGAACTAGTATTAATATAAAAATTATTTTATGCTTAAAAAAAACAATATACGACATGATTGTGATTTTTTTCATTTTATTAATTAATTAAGCTGTGTTGAATATTTTTCCTAAAGGAATAATTGCCAATGGGCCATTAATTCATTTGTTCGTAGATGCTACAATAAACTACACTTGTATGTACTTTTTCATCAACCAGATTTAAATATTGCTGTACTAACATATACCAGTTGAGATAGTGCAGGGTCTACCAACAGACCTCATTACTAAATTATTAAAGTTTAATACTTAGCATATCGATCATTTTTTCAACATAACCTCTGAAATTTTTAATACAAATATAGGTACTTTATATAATACATAAATATACTTAACATCATATCCTCTGTGCTTTACATACCTGAGTTGTTACGGTAAATAAAAATCAGACAAAGGAACCAAAGAAAGGAACTATTTTCAACAAAATCATATGCAGAAATGAGAAAATTCAAACTACTTGCATCCATCAAAAGATCAAAACTTCTTGCAATATTACACCCTCTTTTTATACTCTCAGAAATATTGACTAGAACAGTATTAGTGAGACTCCAGTTTCTATAACTTGGTAGAGTAAAGAGAAGTCGAAACCGTTGCGATATTGCATTGCGCTGTTTTTGTATAATTCTCGGGGACATTAACGAAAATCATTGCCAGTAAAATTCGAAAAGCTTGAGTTTCTATGCCTCTGAAGAGAATAGGAATCCGAAGTTGCTGCACCATTCGACAGGGTCGAGTTTCTACCTCTCTGTTGAATATAGAAAATCAAAACAATGTCTCTTGTAAGACACCATTGAGTTTGACTTTAAATATAGTCGTGCATAGGTATAGAGCCGAAAAATATAAAAACAAAGCACGATTCAATACAGTTCTGATAAAACTTTAAGATTTAATATTCAAACGCGGAGTCATCCTATACAGTTCTATATTTTGCTGTGTACAACAAGATTCCATCGTTTCGGTTGCCAAACTTTCTGAAGACACCGGAGTTAGTGTGGGCAAAGTTCATAAAATATTTAAAAAAAAATTAAATCCTACAAATACCAGGTTTATCAGAAAGTTTATGATGATGACAAGTACCGCAGAATGGAATTCTGTGAAACCGGGATGGAAATGGCAAACGAAAATCCGGAATTTACAAAAAATATTGTTTTCACAGATGAATCCATATTTAAACTTTACGGGAAAAACAATGCGTCCATTCTGCGTTACTGGGCCATCGAAAAAGTACCGGCAGTTAAATTTGCGTACTCAGTACCCAGAAAAATTGAATGTTTGGACTGGTATTTTTGGGGATAACATTATATGTAATTGCCTCATCGCTCCCGGGCCCCGCATATGCCTCTGTTTCCTTGTGCCGATTTTCTTTCGCCACCAGCAACGGCGCGGCTTCACCCGGGTTTGCTGGTTGCGAATGGCCATTGCGTCCCGTACTGTCCCCTTATAAGGGCTCGAGAGCTAAATACCAATAGTTTTAGTAGCCATTCCCGGGTTCGCCTAGCCGATGCTATACGCCCAGTAGGGCCATGAAGGAGGTAGGACGGGGGAAATCTAGTACGACGCGGTACCCCCCTAGACCAGGCAGTTAGTATTACTCCAAACATTTGGGATTACTGAATGGAGTTCGTGAGTTGTTATTTGTCTGCAGGAGCCTACGTCTTGGTCTACGTTTTTGTCGTTATTGTTCGTGTCCACGTAGGATTGTTCCTGCACATGTCTTTAGTCTTGAGGCCGAAAACCATCAAAAGATAGTTCAGTAGTTGTATATGTAACTTGTACCTTTTGATGTTTTTTTTAAATTGTTTATTGGCGCAGTAGTGCATAATTTCTAACAATTTTTTAGTTATTGTGTTGCCCAAGCACGTTTTGTGGTAGAATTGCTTTGTCTTTTTTTCTTAATTTCCAAAATTAAGTATAGGACCATTAATTATTAATGGCAAATTAAACGGTAAATCTTACTTGCATTTATTGCAGATCCAAATTATTCCTGCATTTCGTGTCATTAATCCAAACCTTGATAATGTATGGTTTTAACAGAATGGATGTCCAGCCCATAATAGTCGACGTATTCCCCAACAAAATTTTGTCAACTAGAGGCACAATTCGGTGACCGGCGAGGTCACCTGATATGGCTCCAAATGACTTTTTTGTGGGGCTATATTAAGTCGATGATTTATGCACATGGGCATCAGAGGGCTATTGACCTGAATCAGCTTATTATTAGAATTCCTTTTTTATTTTTAAATGTTTTTCAAAATACACTTTCATTTAATACAATAATTTTTAAAATTCTGCTAACTTTAATAAATATATCAGTTTGAATTTTTTCACAGATCGTGTGTTTTTTAAACTGGATCTAATGGATACAATTAAATTTACGTAAACCTAACTGTGATAACCTGTACCAATTAAAAATCTGTGATAAAAATATTAGGGAAGTAGACCAGTTTTGCTATTTAGGACTTACAATAGACAATAAACTCAACTTTGAAAAGCATATTGATAATATTAGAAAAAAGATTAACAACATAAGCTACTACTTAAAACGAAATGCACAATATTTTAACAACCAAACAAGATATACCATATACTATGCTTATATCCACTCCATCTTAAATTATCTATGCGCATTCTGGGGTCAATCTCGAAAAACTGATATTAAAAGAATACAAACAACTCAAAATCGTGTAATAAAAGTTCTGTACTGCAAGCATCATAGGACACATACAAAAGACCTTTATAATGAACTTAACTTACTAACAATAAATGAGATTATAAAACTTGACAGTGTTAAACTTATCTACAAAATAAAAAACAATTTAATTGAATCCAGTATAAACCTGAAAAATAACTGTGATATTCATAATTATCCTACAAGAATTCGATATGATATATTTAAACTTCCTAATACATGCAATACTGGTAGAAAAAGTCTAACTAGAAATGCAGCTCAACTATACAATGAACTTCCAAATGAAATTAAGAACCAAACAAATATCAATGCTTTCCAGCGGGCTGTAAAAAATCTAATAATTGAAGAAAGAAACTACAATACAGAGTATTAAGTGAATTATATATTGTATAAACTTGTTACAATCACTATATTTTTATATTGTATTTTACTTGTTATGGACCTTTGGTCTTTTTGGGTAAATAAATAAATAAAAAAAAAAAAAAACATAGAAAAAGGATTTAAAAAAAGGATTTAAGCATGTCAGTCTCGACTCGTCCAAATATTTTCTGCGAACTTTTTCGCTTTGTCCTATCTGGTCAACTTTACTATGTATTTTACCTTTGTATAGAATCTATACTATAGATCTTAAATCAAGGATCGGTATATATATATATATATATATATATATATAATATATATAATATATATATTATATATATTATCTATTATTTTATTATTATTTATCAAAATTTAACCTTAATTTATATAAACTCTTTTGGGCGGCTTATTACGAGCTTAGATATAAATAAAAAAGGTTTAATTTTTATCCTAGTCCCTTTGTAAAAGTTGACGATCATCAAATTGATTTTTCTAAAAACTACGTGATTTGTAAACTTTTTTTAAAAATAAAAACCCCCAATCCATTTAGTTGATAAAAATAGGAAATTCTTATAGGATTTGGCTTGTACTGAAATGGGGGTTTCTTCAGCCCCAGTATGGATTTTGGCACATAAAAGTGATTTAGGTTGTATAGCTGTTAATCAGCAAGGAACAAGAATTGCCACTGCCTCCAACCAGGGCACATTAATAAGAGTATGGGATTCCACAACTAAACAATTGCTAGTAGAATTAAGAAGGGGATCAGATCCAGCCACTGTATATTGGTAAACATTAATAAATATTATATTACCTAATTGTAAAAAATATTTTTTTTTAAATTTAAGACGAAAAAAAACTAATAACATGTTTTAGCATTAATTTTAGCAGAGATTCTGACTACTTATGTTGCTCAAGTGATAAAGGAACAGTACATATTTTCGCGATTAAAAAGACAAATTTAAATAAAAGATTAACGTAAGTAATCGTTTTATTTTGTTTTTTTTTTGAATTAATTTTGATATTTTTAGACTTTCAACAACAGGAATTTTGGGTAAATATGGAGATTCTCAATGGGCATTAGCTAATTTTACTGTGCCTCCAGAATCTGCTTGTATTTGTGCATTTGGGGGAAATAATTCAGTCATAGGTATTATTTAACAAATATTATTTATTTATTGTAATATCTTTGAATTCTAGCAATTTGCTTAGATGGAACCTTCCACAAATATGTATTTAATGATGATGGAAACTGCAATCGTGAAGCTTATGATGAGTTTCTTTATGTTGGAGATGACGATGAAATGTAATATTTTTATTAAGGCCATTGTAAATATTGTAACTAAATATGACTTTATTCTCTATGTAATTTTAATATACAATATATATAGTTTTATAATCTAAGTCCATTTATTTCCATAATTACACTACTAACTATTCTGTGATTTTTTTCTATCAAATGGATCTGTCCAAACTTTCATATCTGAAATTTTTTAATATTTTTTACTTATTGGTTTACAGGGTGCACCAAGTATCCTTCTATGTATGGGTATCTCTTTTATTTAAGGCGTATTCATGCTCACTTAAAATAAAAAATAAGATAAAACGTTAAAACTGGGTAAAGTAATTGGTTGCGTTCCTGTTTAATAAGAAAGAAGAAGATAAATAACTTTTAACTTTGGTTTTTATTTTTGCATATAAAACTGCGCAAAAGGACAAAATAGGTCTGTGATGGTTTTATGGGTTTTATGTCGATTGTTTACGTTTAATTATTGTATTTTGTGTTATTGAAAAATTGACGAAACGTGACATATGGACATATAATGCAACATCTATGATTGTCATCAATAACAACTAAAATACAGATAACTGCCGTCATTACACCCAAAGAACACTTTGATTACACCTCCCGCAAATACAAAAAAATAAAAATAAATGGTGATAACATTTTTTATCTTATGTTATCAGCATGATCGCGACCTTATTTCTTATTCCTTATTTATTATTTTAAGTTAGCATGAATACGCCTTTAAAGTTGTGTAATTACAAGTCTAATAAAATGGCATTTAAAAATTGAAAAAGCAGTTTTCAAATTAGTTAAAAAAAACTGAAAACATTGAAACCAAAAATCGTTATAATTTCGTTATTCCTAGGAATTTTGAAAAAAGTAAGTTTAACATGTAATAAGAGACTTTTATCTACATTTTCATCTAATTTGTGATTTTTTTTGCCCAATAGATTTTGAGTTACAATGACCTTTTGTTTTTGACGCCGGATTGGAATTTTACATGGTTAGATAGAAAAAAAAATAAAGGAATCTAATAATGTATCTATCAAACTAGAGACCCTTGTCTCTATATTAAACTACATAAGTTATTTAATATTATAATAACAAAAAATCGTAATGGTAACTCAAAATATAGTAGCAAAGAAATTGAACAAAAATGTAGATGAATGTGTATGTTTACATTTAAAACTTCCCTTTTTTTAATTCCCATTTTGAGAACCGCTGCCCTAATTCAATTAATTAATTAATTAATAAAAAAATACCCATAAAATATTCACATAAAAGGATACTTGGTGCAGTGTGAGTGACAAGAGCGTGCACCAATTGATTTCTAGAAATGTGGATTTAGGTAGATACTACTAGTAGTAGTCTACTACAAGCATTTAAATATGACAAGATCATGGGCGCATTTAGAATGAAATTTGCATATAGTGAAACTTTAATCTAAAGAGATTTAAAAAAATTAGAAAATTCAAGTTCAGGTTATAGAATTTAAACTAAGATATAAATACATGTAAAATGGAGCATGAAAAAATTCGACTTCAAATTTTAATTAAAAAAGTTTGAGTTACGGAAGTTTTATTGCATGATTGCCACATTTCCAGAAAATAAATTTTGGAGAAAAGTTTCATCACCAAACACAATTCACACCACATTTTTATGTTAAATAAAAATATGGGTAATATCCCCACAGCTATATAGCATAAGGCATATGCTTCTTACTAGATAGATAAATCCAGTGCTTTACATTTAAGAATGTTATTCAGGGTGTTAGGAAGACATACCTACTTAGTTTTTTAGTTGGCTTTTATGCCCCTTATGTTCTGTGTTATGCCCGGTAATTGAGTCCTTTAGAATCAAAAGTGTGCATGTCACACTGCTATGCTTAGCAAAAATATATGGAAAGCTTTTGCTTTTAATGGGAACCATATAAGATACCTATTATGTTGTACCAATGTTATTATTAACAATTGTAAAGTTTTGATACATTACTTATGGTACTTATTTTCCTAACACCCATAAATGCTAATTTGCATTGCTTATTTTGACAAACTATTGTTTGTTTAACTTACTTCCAGGTTGTATATCCTCTTGTTTAATGTGAGCCCTTGTTTGCTCTTGTATTCTTTCTAAAAAACTACTGTTATAAACATAAATAGTAATAATAAGTTATAGATGTAATTACTGTATTTCTCTACATTTAACATAGGATCTATAATGATAGGATATATTGCTAAACCAATGGCACCTATTAAACCACCTATTAATCCTGCGTACCTCCAGCCTGTTAATCTAGGCATTTTTTATAGAATTGTACCTATACCTTTTTGACTATTATTTCTAGTAAAAATAACTCATGCACAAAATCTGATATTCTCTTATGTCAATATATAGTGAGCAGTGTTGCCAACACAAATTTACTCTCAATTTGAGATTCTCAAAGGTTTCTGGGTTAACTCGCAACCATAGATTAATAACCTAATAACAACTCTATATTTTGTACAAAGTGACTAGGTGCACGTTAGAGTGCCCGCAATTTATTTTTTACGGGCACGCTAGTGACGTCATAATAATAATCCGGTTTTGTTACCCGAACATATAATTTTTGTTGTCAAGCTAGATAGCGTAGATGGTAGGGCGTTTGCTATCAAAATTACCAAAATTATTAAATTCTCTAAATTCAAACCCCCTTTGTACCTTTATACCTTTATAGTTAGGCCGTTTACAAAATTTATCATGTATTATTGTTAAATAAACTATTTTGGAATTTGGAATTTGGAATTTGGCGTTTGCTCTGCATGCGAGAGGTCCCGGGTTCGATTCTCAGAAGTTGTCGAAATTTTTTTTACTTTTTTATTTCATAAATTTGTTGTTCCTTTGTTAAAAAGTGTTTTATTTTTATCGTAACATAAATTTGCCCATTTTAGTTGAGTTTTTTGCTCAATGGGGCGGGGGGGGGGCCAATGGGGCGGGGTCGGTTGGGTTGTGTTGTTGAGTTTGGGTTGGTTTGGTTTTATTACGTAACTAACGTGTCCTTAACATGTATACAGGTACAATTTATTATTATATTATTGTTGTGCCGCCAATTTTAAATTAAGCGGCACGGCAGTGATGACGTTTTTTATCTATTACGTCACTAGCGTGCCCGTAAAAAATAAATTGCGGGCACTCTAACGTGCACCTAGTCACGGCGTATTTTGTATTGAGGCAAAAAACAATGATTGAGGTTAGGTTATTTTTGGTGTTGTTCCAAGTTCAATAAGTTGTTTTTAAAATTTGCTTTAAGAAACTCCCTTCGGGGTTTTCTATGAAGAAACTTTTACAGCGTGTTAGCATTGATTAAGGAATTTTACTCTACGTTTTTTAATAAGAATTGAAAATACATAATTATCGACCTTTCGGTCGAGTTTTCGGTAAGAATTCGTTCATTTTTTTTCATCTTGTTTACAAACAAACATTGTTTATTGGCCCTGTACAGGGCCGGCGACAATAGCGGTGCTCGCGGGCTCAAGCACCACACGTAAAGGAAAATGGTGGTGCTCAGCACCACACGTATCTTCAGCAGAAAAATTGCATTTCTTTTGCGGCATATAACAAATATATTGCGGTCTCTAAATTTTTTATCCTGCTAGCCTGGCCCAGGCTGCCTGGGATACACAGTGTGTATTACACACATATATTTCTAAATATGTGGATACACATCAACGCTCTCTACAAATTTACGGTTGAAGCTGAGGAATCCAAAGTTTAAAGCAGCGGTTCTCAAACTTTTTTTTTCGCGTACCATTCATGTGCAATGTGGATTAATCGAGTACCACCGAACTAAATAAAACAAGTTGTGCTGCGTGTACGTATTTATTGAACTTGTAGTTTAATAATAAATATTGATAACCGTCAAACAGAACCAATTTTTATAGTATTACAACAATTTGTCAGAACAAAACAAAATACGCATGACTCGTCACGATTTTAAAATGAGCAGGGGATTACCCGTTTAATAAACACCAACAACAGTGTTGCCATTTACAATATAAAATGTGAAAAATGATAGATTTTCAATAAAATTGAGCCAACGATAATTTTATTTGAAGGCAAGTACATCTATTATCTATTCGCGTACCACCTTTGGATGCCTTACGTACCACTTGTGGTACGCGTACCACAGTTTGAGAACCGCTGGTTTAAAGTATCAAAGTCGGTCGGTATAGTATGTATAAGTGTAGGTTTCTTGGTATAGTAGGAATAACAAACCGACACGTCGCGACGTGTATACATTTGTATATACCCGGACAACAATCGGGATTTCCTGGTGAAGTCATGATGATATCACAACGTGATTTTTTTTATCACGCTGTGATATCCTGAGTGCATACACATGCTTCATCACAGTGATATCATGTAGAACTCACGGTGTGATATTTGCAAAATTTGCGCATGCGTATGAGCCCTGCGAACTGCGAATTTAAAACCTAGTTTGTTATTCACATTACACCGTTATAATTTATAAAACGTTGTTTGAATATCACGAATGTTGTCCGGGTTCAATTAAAAAAGATATTCCAACATTGGAATATCTTTTTTAATTGAACCCGGACAACATTCGTGATATTCATACGAACATCATGTTGTGATTTTCACAAATTTTATTCATACTGATATCATACGGAAGTTACCGCGTGATAAATGAAAATCATAAGAACGTCACGTCGTGATTTTCACAAATTTTATTCATACGGACATCATCCGGATGTCACTGCGTGAGAAATGAAAATCGTGTGATTTTTTATGTCATCGCAGTTTGGATAATCATTTTTGCGACACATTCGTACATTGAAAGAAAAAGTATGTTAACAATTGAATCAACAGTTTAACATTCAATATTTATATATAGTTAATTTAAATCCAAGAAAATATTGAATGTATTTAACCACAAAAACTGTTGATTCAATATATATGTATACATATATATTGAATCTATAGGTTAGGGTGTCACTTATTTTTTATTTTTTTACGCATACCCTCTAATTATATTTATTACGTGTTTATATACTCCCAGTAAAAATTTCAGCTCATTCTATAAACGGGAACCCGTGCCGACTTGCATCTGAACCCTCCGTGAGCCAACGTTAGGCGCGCGGTATTTTGTAACACGGTTGGCCGCGAGGTCTTCGATCGTAAGTCATTTTGTGTTTGTTATAATGTGACCCTTATATTATAAATTATTGACAAATGTTAAAATATAGTTTTATTTATGTGTATACTTTGATAAAAATGTATATTTTCACAGGGAGTGGCTAGTTACCCGGAAGGGTCTAGTGAATATGCCGTAAACTCTGACATTGATAAACTTAATGGGATTTACTCTAAATAACTAAAAGAGTCTATTGTGAGAGATGACTACCGAAAACTTATTGAACTGTCTGAAATATTTTTGGGAGGACATCAAGAAAAGAAATGCTTATAAAAAGCTGAAATTTCATATAACAGTATATTTTAGCAATACTAATTAGTATATTAATATATTTAAGGGATAAAATCAACTAATTTTTTTTGGTTATTTTTTAGCTGTCATTCAGATATAATAAAAAAAAGAGTTTCGGGTAATTAGTTTTACGGCCTATTCACCCGACACTTCCGGGTAACTAGCCACTTCCTGTAAAAATATTCATTTTTATTAAAGTATACACATAAATAAAACTATATTTTAACAATTTTTAATAATTTATAATATAAGGGTCACATAATAACAAACACAAAATGACTTACGATCGAAGACCTAGCGGCCAACCGTGTTACAAAATACCGCGCGCCTAACGTTGGCTAATGGAGGGTTCAGATGCAAGTCGGCACGGGTTCCCGTTTATAGAATGAGCTGAAATTTTTACTGGGAGTATATAAATACGTAATAAATATAATTAGAGGGTATGCGTAAAAAAATAAAAAATAAGGGACACCCTAATGTAGGTAGGTATACTTTTTCTCTCAATGTACGAATGTGGCGCAAAAATAAATATCCAAACACCGATGGCATAAAAAATCACGACATGATTTTTTAGGCTATCGGTGTTTGGGCATAAAAAATCACGACATGATTTTTTATGCCATCGGTGACATGTTTGGATATTTATTTTTGCGCCACATTCGTAAATTGAAAGTAAATTAATTATTAATTTAAATCCAAAAAAATATTGAATGTATTTAACCACAAAAACTGTTGATTTAATATACATATATGTATATTAAATATATATATATATATACATCCCACTACACTTATGGCGTCCTTTCATGGACGTCACTTATGGCTTCCCCCTTAAGGACGCATATATATTCATTTTTGATTAAAGTATATTAGCTAACCCATTCTCCTTGTGCCTCCACTCGTTTAAAATTTTAGTTATTTTTTTAAAAATATACGGCTTTGTGACCTCCTTTTATAATGCAGACATATGAGCCCCACGAAATATATGATTTTGTACATTTCACAATATATATGAACTCCGGCAATGTTGCCATATTTCATAATATAAAAAACTATTATATTTTTATAAAACTTAGGATATAACTTGAAATATTATAAATACCCTATATTATTTAGACTTTCTTAACAATTTTTGAATAGGTATTAAACGAATGGTGAGATTAAAAAACTTAATTTTATTGTTAGAAAACAAATAAATTGTTTTTAGTTATTTTTAATTTGGCTCGATCTAGCATAAGAAAATTTGCGGTAGGTTTATAAATTCAATTAAATTCAAAACTTTATATTAAATACCTACCTATAGGTATACTAATGTTAAAAAACTGTTTTTTAGAACACCATTTTACTTTGGAAAAAATCATATTTATTTATTTGACAATATTTATTAAATGTATGTATACTTTTTGCTTTTTAACAGTAAAGAACAAAAATATTGTGGCTGTAATTAAAAATAAATGTGGTAATATTCAAATTGTATTACAATAATTGTAATTGCAATACCACATTTATTTTTAATTATCATTACAATGTTTTTTGTGAGTTTTGCATACGCCTCATCTATGGATATAAATACAAGGGGATGACGTTTTTTGTGATAATTTATTATGAGTTTTATACGGACTGTAAGTCTAGGTACCTATCTATAGATATTACGCTTTGTTAATTTTGTAATAGGTACCTACTAACATTTAATAACGTGGGGGTGGGAAAAATAGTGGTTTAAATAACTGTATAGGTACTATTTATATAGAATTATTATAATTATAGGTAAATTTATATAACAATACAGTTATTTAAACCACAATTACCGGTTACAACTTATTAAATTTTAGTATTGTAAATTAAACATAGCATAATATTTATAGATACCTACACTTTTTAAAATAATATCTGGCAGTCATAATAATTATATATTATTATTAACACTTTGTCGGGTCGTTAATATAATTTTTAAACTTAAGATCTTAAGATCTAGGTAATATATATCA